TTGAAGTCAGCCAGGGATCTATTGGTAATTTCCCTTACGCCTGGTGGGAGGCTGTTAAAGAGTCTTGGGCCTCAGACGCGTACTATGTTTTCTCTCAGTGTACCAATGGCGTCCCTACTTTTCACTGGGGGTGTTTTTCACAGCCTGTCCAGTCTTTTGTTTCCGTAGGGAATGATTTCTGTGTGAAGTTTGTGGACCATTCCTTTTAGGATTTTCCAAATGTAGATTATGATCTATCCCTCTCACCTGCGCTGCAGTGAGTACAAGTCAAGTGCTTCCAAGCTTCCTCAGTAGTTAAGGCGTTTGATGGAACTTATATGTGCAGTAAAGGATCTCTGTACATTCCCTAGATCTGCAATTTCACCAGCTTGTAATGACGATGTTAAAATACAGCAGTATTCCAGCCTAGAGAGAACAAGCGATTTAAAAAAGATCACTGTTTTGAACGTTCTCATTATCCATCCTATCAATTTCTTGGCAGATGTGATAGTGGAACTGTTGTGATCTTTGAAAGCCAGATCCTCAAACATTACCACTCCCAGGTCATTCACATTACGTTTCCGCTATACTGTGTGATTAGAGTTGGTAGTATACTCAGTTCTAGTTATTATCTCCTCCAGTTTTCCATAACGGAGTACTTGGAATTTGTCGTCATTGAACATCATATTGTTTCCCGTTGCCCATTGGAAAACTTGGTTTATATCTTCCTGGAGGTTAACCGTGTTCTCAATGGATGACAGTCTCATGCAGATTCTAGCATCGTCTGCAAAGGATGACACGGTGCTATGGTTTACATCTCTGTCTATGTCTGATATGAGGATAAGGAACAAGATGTGGGGCGAGTACTTTGCTTTGTGGAACAGAACTTTTCACTACGGCAGCTTCCGATATAACTCTGTTTACCACTACTCTTTGTGTTCGATTAGTTGAAAAGTTGAAGATCGATCTGCCCACTTTGCTAGTTATCCCTTTAGAACGCATTTTGTGCGCTATTCCACCATGATCGCACTTGTCAAAAGCTTTTGCAAAGTCTGTGTATACTGCATCTGTATTCTATTGGTCTTCCAGTGCATCCAAGACCTTATCATAGTGATCTAGTAGTTGCGAGAGGCACGAGCGACCTGCTCTGAACTCATGTTGAGAATCCAAGTGGTTTGTAATCATGCTTCTTATTACTCTCTCAAAAAATTTTTATGGTCTATAGACTTCCTTTGTGATGTCTTCCTTTGCAGATGACACCCGAATCTGCATGACAGTGTCTTCCATTGCAGACACTGCAAGGCTCCAGGCGGACATCAACCAAATCTTTCAGTGGGCTGCAGAAAACAATGTGAAGTTCAACGATGAGAAATTTCAATTACTCAGATATGGTAAACGCGAGGAAATTAATCTTCATCAGAGTACAAAACAAATTCTGGCCACAAAATAGAGCGAAACACCAACGTCAAAGACCTGGGAGTGATCATGTCGGAGGATCTCACCTTCAAGGACCATAACATTGTATCAATCGCATCTGCTAGAAAAATGACAGGATGGATAATGAGAACCTTCAAAACTAGGGAGGCCAAGCCCATGATGACACTCTTCAGGTCACTTGCTCCATCTAGGCTGGAATATTGCTGCACACTAACAGCACCTTTCAAGGCAGGTGAAATTGCTGACCTAGAAAATGTACAGAGAACCTTCACGGCGCGCATAACGGAGATAAAACACCTCAGTTACTGGGAGCGCTTGAAGTTCCTGAACCTGTATTCCCTGGAACGCAGGAGGGAGAGATACATGATTATATACACCTGGAAAATCCTAGAGGGACTAGTACCGAACTTGCACACGAAAATCACTCATTACGAAAGCAAAAGACTTGGCAGACGATGCAACATCCCCCCAATGAAAAGCTGGGGTGTCACTAGCACGTTAAGAGACCATACAATAAGTGTCAGGGGCCCGAGACTGTTCAACTGCCTCCTAGCATACATAAGGGGGATTACCAATAGACCCCTGGCAGTCTTCAAGCTGGCACTGGACAAGCACCTAAAGTCGGTACCTGACCAGCCGGGCTGTGGCTCGTACGTTGGTTTGCGTGCAGCCAGCAGTAACAGCCTGGTTGACCAGGCTCTGATCCACCAGAAGGCCTGGTCACAGACCGGGCCGCGGGGGCGTTGACCCCCGGAACTCTCTCCAGGTAAACTCCAGGTATAGTTCTTAGTTAATGCTTTGCTGCCACCTTTATGTAGTGGGGCTATATCTGTTGTTTTTAGTGACTGTGAAATTTCACCCATGTCTGTGCTTCTTCTCCACAGTATCCGTGTCCTTAGAGCACGTGAAAGAGTTTTTTGCAGTTCTTAATGAACACAGAATTCCACGATTCTGTCAATGGCGTTCTCAAAGTCCAGTGGAGTTAGGATAATGTCAGAAATTTGACGTACACTGACGGAGTTTTGAGGCTCATTCATGAAAAAATTATTTGGATTGTCTATCTTTAGACTGATTAGTGGCTCGCTAAACACTGAGTCTTATTATGAGATTTCAGTATCTCACTCATTTCTTTGTTGTCATCTGTGTAAGTCCCGTCTTGTCTGAGCAAGAGCCCAATATTAGATGTGCTATTTGCCTTGTTTTTGGCATATGAAAAAATATTTCGGATTTCTTTCAATTTCACTAATCGCTTAAATTCTTCCTGCCACTGCTGGATCCTGTATGAATCGTTTAACTTAAGCTCATACTCTCCACTTCCCTGGTCAGCGCTTCCTTCCGTGTATCAGATAATTTAGCATTCTTGAGGAAGTAAGTGTTCCTTCGTCGTCTCTGTGGATGGAGCGTCTTTCTTTCTCCATTTTACCTCTCTCTTCTTTTTCTTAGGGGTATATGCTTTGAGCATACTTCAGCTGGCAGGAAGTTGATCCTTTCAAGATACTGGTTTGGATCGATGTTATTTAAGATATCTTCCCAACATGTTTCATTTAAGACATGGCTCACATGATCCAAGTTGATGTTCTTGTTGTTGAGGTTGAATTAGGCGAAGACACCTTCATAGCTGCGTGCATTTTGCTGGTCAGGACCCCTGTGTATTATGTCTGAACTTCGATTAGTTTGTGATCGGAATTAGTCGTTTTTGATACTGTTATGTTTCTGAGCAGGTCCTCATTATTTGTGAAAATAAGGTACAGTGTGAGGCTTCACTGTGTTGTGTGATGTGACAGATTGTTAGTGAAGCTTCATTGTATTGTGTGATGTGACAGGTTAGTGAGGCTTCATTGTGTTGTGTAATGTGACAGATTGCTAGTGAGGCTTTATTGTGTTGTGTGATATGACAGGTTGTTTGTGAAGCTTCATTGTGTTGTGTGATGTGACAGGTTAGTGTGGCTTCACTGTGTTATGGGTGAGGCTTCAGTATGTTGTGTGATGTGACATTGCAAGGCTTTAATTGTTGTGTGATGATTAAGCAGTGTTTTTTTGTGATGCTTCACTGTATTGTGTGATGTGACAGGTTGTTTATGAGGTTTGTCTCTCTTGCGTCCTTCATAAATAATCCATACTGGTCTAGCGCATTATTTTGATCATAGTATAATAATAATTGTTATAATAATATATAATAATATAATAATAATAATATAATATATATAATAATATTATTGTTATTATTATTGTTATTATTATTATTATTATTGTAATTAGAGGTGCATGATGTGATGTCGTTGTGTCCAGGAGCCACTTGGTGCATATTATGTGTAAAAAGCTGTTACTGATTTTACCAAATATATTTATCACGAAAATATTGCTAGCCATTTACCACAGAAAGTGAATCCTCTCCCTTTTGTTGAGATCAGTTACTAACATGCACGTTAAGAGCTGTCTAAAGAATTGCAATGTTAATAAATTACCGAATACGTTTAATACTTCTTTGGAACGTTGCTTCTTAAGGGAAAAAATATATAAGTATCCACTGGCGGGGTCTTAAGTCACAGGAGACACTCAATGGAGGGAGGCTTTTCCCTGGCTTCCCGGTCCTTCCAGTAAACAATAAATATACCACCGTTAACCTTCTCTCACCGAACAAGTGATATCCGAGCCTTTCCTGGTGCTATCGAAACCTAATTTAACATTAAATAAGAAAAATATTACTTTTAGATTTGCAGGGAACGTTCAGCAATTGACGTTATGAACTGCGTAAGAATATTAGCGTAGTAAAATGGGTTTAGTCCAAAATATTCATGTTTTAATTCGTTTTTTATACGCATATCCCAGTCATTTTTTTTAAAATCTCCCAGTAGAAATGACTTTTTTTTTTAGTATTTTAAGTTATGATAGGTTAGGTTAGCATAGGTTAGGTTAGCTTTAGTAAGGTTAAATTTAACTTAGGTTACATTAGGTTTGCTTAGCCTAACCTAACTAAGCTAATCTAACGTTAGATTAGGTTAGCTGAGTAAAATACATTTGCAACAATTGGGTATCGTTATCAACGAAACATTTCACCTGCTCTGCAGGATTCCTCAGTTAATATTGGAGACAGAAGAAGTGGAGAGACGAAGATGATGAGGATCAGTCCTTCAGCCTTGAAGAAGTTGTTTTGATGTGGTCAGTCCTTTAGCCTTGAGAAATGTTCCGCTCCATAGTCTTTGAGACTGTGAAGCTGAACACTTCTCATGGCTGTAGGAATATTTACCTCATCTTTATTTCTCCATTGCTTCTGCTGCTCTCCAATTTAGTCACCTCTGTTTTCGACTGAAGAAACCTGCAGAGCAGGCGAAACGTTTCAAAAAGTTAAGATACCCAATTGTTGCATATGTGTCTTACTCATCTATTTTCTGGTACAGAATATGCTAATATACGTTAGATTAGATTAGATGAGGTTAGGCTAAAAATATTTGGTTAAATTAGTCATATATATTAATGAAATAATCCGGCTATGATGCTTCTGGCAACGTGACACCAGGAAATGCTCAAATCTGCACACGTGTCACTCCGACTCACTGGTGGACAGAAGAAAAACAGTCTTTTACCTCATGTAGCCAAACAATCTTGTAGACGCCGGGATTGGATCTGATGGAGCACTCGAAGTACACATCATCTCCCTCCTCTATGTTGCTTAAGTTCAGTGATCGTCCAGGGTGCAGGCTGGCAACAGGAACATCTGGAAACAGTCACTCCCAAAATCAATGTTCGTGCAAAGCATATGATTAATTTGTAAATCATGACTTAAGACGACGTTGCACTGTTCTGGAACTTTATCATAGTATTATAACTTGATACTAGTCTAGGATGGAAAGCATTGTTGCCTATAGATTCCTTTCAAAATTATGAATTGATCCAGCACTTTTTATACAAAAGACTACACATGGATATAGATAAACAAGAGATAAGAGTACACATACAGACAAACAAAAAGAGGTGATAAGGCTCGTGGAGCAGGGAGAGTGCATCTAGTAGCGACCAGTGAAGAGGTGGGGCTAACTCTACTCACCTAATTGCAATCGCAATTAAGTGAGTACAGTTAGGTGAGTACACACATGGTCTCACACCCATCCTTGCCATGGATGGTTTGAGCCTCCCGTCTATCTTTTTGGTTATTCATTTACAGTCGATTATTACTGCTAAAGCTCCTTGGCTGTGATGGAGACAACAGGGTCACACTTGGTGCCACTGATGGAGACGTGAGAAGAAGTTGTTTCCGAATTATTAATATTAGAAGTCTCGTACCTCAGCGGACTCATGAGCCGCAGGGCCAAGGTTCAAGCCTCGTCCAACTTTCGAACCCTCGGCAACCTTCCTTATTATTCATTGACAGTCGTTCATTATGACGTTCATATATATATATATATATATATATATATATATATATATATATATTATATATTATATATATATATATATATATATATATATATATATATATATATGACACTGTGCTCTTGGGAGATTCTGAAGAGAGGTTGCAGAGGTTGGTGGATGAATTTGGTAGGGTATGCAAAAGAAGAAAATTAAAAGTGAATACAGGAAAGAGTAAGGTTATGAGGATAAAAAGATTAAGCGATGAAAGATTGAATATCAGATTGGAGGGAGAGAGTATGGAGGAGGTGATTGTATTCAGGTATTTAGGAGTGGACGTGTCAGCGGATGGGTCTATGAAAGATGAGGTGAATTATAGAATTGATGAGGGGAAAAGGGTGAGCGGTGCACTTAGGAGTCTGTGGAGACAAAAAACTTTGTCCTTGGAGGCAAAGAGGGGAATGTATGAGAGTATAGTTTTACTAACGCTCTTATATGGGTGTGAAGCATGGGTGATGAATGTTGCAGCGAGGAAAAGGCTGGAGGCAGTGGAGATGTCATGTCTGAGGGTAATGTGTGGTGTGAATATAATGCAGAGAATTCGTAGTTTGGAAGTTAGGAGGAGGTGCGGGATTACCAAAACTGTTGTCCAGAGGGCAGAGGAAGGGTTGTTGAGGTGGTTCGGACATGTAGAGAGAATGGAGCAAAACAGAATGACTTCAAGAGTGTATCAGTCTGTGTTGGAAGGAAGGCGGGGTAGGGGTCGGCCTAGGAAAGGTTGGAGGGAGGGGGTAAAGGAGGTTTTGTGTGGAGGGGCTTGGACTTCCAGCAGGCATGCGTGAGCGTGTTTGATAGGAGTGAATGGAGACAAAGGGTTTTTAATACTTGACGTGCTGTTGGAGTGTGAGCAAAGTAACATTTATGAAGGGATTCAGGGAAACCGGCAGGCCGGACTTGAGTCCTGGAGATGGGAAGTACAGTGCCTGCACTCTGAAGGAGGGGTGTTAATGTTGCAGTTTAAAAACTGTAGTGTAAAGCACCCTTCTGGCAAGACAGTGATGAAGTGAATGATGGTGAAAGTTTTTCTTTTTCGGGCCACCCTGCCTTGGTGGGAATCTGCCAGTGTGTTATAATAATATATATTATATATATATATATATATATATATATATATATATATATATATATATATATATATATATATATTATATATATATATATATATATATATATATATATATTATATTATATGTTATATATACATATATATAACAACACTGCACTAGCCTAGCCAAGGACTCGAACCCATGCTGCTCTGGCCTGCCTCATGGTGGGCGAAAACACATGACGCCCTAATCATATATATATATATATATATATATATTATATATATATATATATATATATATATATATATATATTATATATATATATATATATATATTATATATATATATTCTTTCGCGCTTTCTATGCGACGCCAGGAGCAATGTAATGTTGCAAGGGTAACAACAGATAGTAGAAGGAAAAAATTCTCTCTGAGGCAAGGGAGAAGCATAAAGTGTCTGACCATGTCACAATCTGGTGTGACATGGTCAGAAGCCTCAAGCGTCATGTCATGTCACAATCTGATATGACATGGGCAGATGTGTAAAGCGTCAGCCCATGTTACAATCTGGTGTGACATACTTTGACACTTCACCCTTCTGAACTGCCTCAGAGGGAATTTTGTCCTCATCTGTTGTTAACCTTCCAACATTACATAGCTTCTGATGATGTACAGAGAATGCGAAAGATCTTGACCTAAAGATTTCCATCCCATGTGGCTCGTTCTGCATTGCTAAGGTCGCCTGTTTGCGATTGTTTTGCAAAATCACAAAAAGAGTGATTTTGAATCGTAAACAGAAGTGTGGCTAGCCGCAGTTCTGCTAATGATCCTGCGTCACTATACCCACCCCTGTGAGAACAGGACAGTGTACAGATCCCTCTGTCCACTTAATCATCAATATTATGTGTGTGTGTGTGTGTGTGTGTGTGTGTGTGTGTGTGTGTGTGTGTGCTTCCGTGAGTTACTGTAAAACGAATGTTGAGTACATCATTATTAGTAGGAGTATATTATGACATACGCCGAGTGCGAAAGATACTGGTCAAACAGGGGGCCATAGTCTCCAGACTGGTTTAGTTATGTAAATGATAATACTTATAATAATGATAATAATTATTATAACAGTAATAATTTCGTTATTATTAATATTATTATTATTCATATGAAAAAGTAAATGTGTAGCTTGTGATCAGAATAAACATGGAAGTTATAAAGAAAGAGACTGGTAGCAGCCGGCGATGCATACTCACAGTAGACATCGAGGAGCCACTCGTCTACGAGCGGCTGTGTGCTGAGAGCTGGTGAGTGAGCCAGGCAGGACAACACACGACCTGCGTCACCAATCTCAGGTGTAAACATCAGCTCACTGCTCGTTACATTACCGTCGTGACTCAACTGGCAATATAATACATATATGTATATGATGTGCCAAATAAGTAAAATTGTTCAATTAGCAAGAACTCATTTAAAACAAAGTCTATTCTAAAATTTTCTCTTATATTTTTGAAGACATATTTTTTTCATTTATGTTAATGTACCAAAAGAATCTTAGAAAAATTACTTAACCTTATTATAACAAGTCCAATTTAATTTAGCCAAGTCCAACTAAATATATTTTAGATATGTTTACAATAATTTAATAATAAACAAGCACAATAAAATATACTTTTCTCGTCAGGATCACAATGATTTTCGCGAAATTATTGCACACTCACACATACATACAGATATTATATATATATATATATATATATATATATATATATATATATATATATATATATATATATATATATATATATATATATATATATATAATATATATATATATATAGATATATATATTATATATATATATATATATGTCGTGCCGAATATGTAAAACTGGTCAATTAGCAAAAACTCATTTAAAATTAAGTCCTTTCTAAAATTTTCTCTTATACGTTTAAATATATATTTTTTTCATTAATGTTAATGTAGAAATTTTTAATTTTGCTCCAAAAGTATCTTAAAAAACTTACCTAACCTTATTATAAGAAGAAAAATTTATTTTAGCCTAACCCAACTAAATATATTTTAGATTTGTTTACAGTAATTTAATACTAAACAAACACAATGAAATATATTTTTTTCGTTAGGTGCAGAATGATTTGGGCGAAATTATTGCATACACAAATTTTCGCTTGTCCTATATGGCAAGATGAACGTTGCTACTTAAGCCAAGGTCGCAAGTTCTGCCTATTCGGCACGACATATAATATATATATATATATGTATATATATATATATATATATATATATATATATATATATATATATATATATATATATATAAAATATATATATATATATATATATATATATATATATATATATATATATATATATATATATATATATATATATATATATATATATATATATGTCAGTAAATAAGTAGGTTTAAACCCAAAGTTGCATAATAACCCCTGAAATAAACAGATGTTTGGTTTAGGTTAGTAGAAAATTCAACAAAGAATTTAACATTGGTAAATACAGTAATAACCTTAATAACAATGGTAAATATATCACAAATTTTAAAATGACCTTCATCTTCTTGTTCCTATGGTCATTATCCATCGTCTCATTATGGCAATTATTCACTTAACCTGTCCTCAAAGATTAATCAAACATTCTGTTATTAATCAGTCATTATATATGATTAATCAATCTGTAATTATAGTAAATAAATTATCAACATAGTGTTATAGAAAATAACTGGGGGGTATCATTAAATTATATATCATTACACATAAATCAATAGTTCACCGTGTTAAATGATCACCCAGAGTGTCATTAAAGTAATTAATCAATCACCCTGTAATTATGATAGTTAATTTGTCAGCTTGTAATTATAGTAATTATTTAACCAGCCTGTCGTTATTGTAACTAATAAATGAACCTGTCGTTACGATAATGAACCAACCATCTTGTAACCGCAGTAATTAAATAACAAACTTGTCAGTATGGTTATTAGTCAACCAAGGCGTCACTGTTGTAATTATTCAACCATTGAGCATTCATGATAATTAAACAACCTATCATTGTAGTAATCAACCATTCTGTCATTAAGGTAATTAATCAAAAAACCTGTCATTAAGGTAATTAATCAAAAAACCTGTCATTAAGGTAATTAATCATCCAACCTACAGTTAAAAGTAACTAATCAACCAACCAATCATTAAGGTAATTAATCAACCACCTTATCATTAAAGTAACTAATCATCCAATCATTACGGTAACTAATCAATCATTTAGAGTTATAATGAAAAAAATCATTATATCAATTAATCAAACCTATCACTATAGAAATCATTTAAAAATTGTCATTATAATATTTACCTAACAATGTTATAATGGAATTAAGTATGACGAAATTTTTTTCTCATTATAGATAATGAAAATATAATTTAATTAAACAAGCAAATTCTCACAATATTAATTATTTTATATATTACGTTACATGATATATAGAGTTTTGTACATTTATTGTTGTATTCCTACACTCCTACAGTAGTGTTGTATTCCTACACTCCTACAGTAGTGTTGTATTCCTACACTCCTACAGTAGTGTTGTATTCCTACACTCCTACAGTAGTGTTGTATTCCTACACTCCTACAGAAAGTGTTGTATTCCTACACTCCTACAGTAGTGTTGTATTCCTACACTCCTACAGTATGTTGTATTCCTACACTCCTACAGTAGTGTTGTATTCCTACACTCCTACAGTAGTGTTGTATTCCTACACTCCTACAGTAGTGTTGTATTCCTACACTCCTACAGTAGTGTTGTATTCCTACACTCCACAGTAGTGTTGCATTCCTACACTCCTACAGTAGTGTTGTATTCCTACACTCCTACAGTAGTGTTGTATTCCTACACTCCTACAGTTAGTGTTGTATTTCCTACACTCCTACAGTAGTGTTGTATTCCTACACTCCTACAGTAGTGTTGCATTCCTACACTCCTACAGTTAGTGTTGTATTCCTACACTCCTACAGTAGTGTTGTATTCCTACACTCCTACAGTAGTGTTGCATTCCTACACTCCTACAGTAGTGTTGTATTCCTACACTCCTACAGTTAGTGTTGTACTCCTACACTTCTACAGTTAGTGCTGTATTCCTACACTCCTACAGTAGTGTTGTATTCCTACACTCCTACAGTAGTGTTGTATTCCTACACTCCTACAGTAGTGTTGTATTCCTACACTCCTACAGTAGTGTTGTATTCCTACACTCCTACAGTAGTGTTGTATTCCTACACTCCTACAGTTAGTGTTGTACTCCTACACTTCTACAGTTAGTGCTGTATTCCTACACTCCTACAGTAGTGTTGTATTCCTACACTCCTACAGTAGTGTTGTATTCCTACACTCCTACAGTAGTGTTGCATTCCTACACTCCTACAGTAGTGTTGTATTCCTACACTCCTACAGTAGTTTTGCATTCCTACACTCCTACAGTAGTGTTGTATTCCTACACTCCTACAGTAGTGTTGCATTCCTACACTCCTACAGTAGTGTTGTATTCCTACACTCCTACAGTAGTGTTGTATTCCTACACTCCTACAGTAGTGTTGTATTCCTACACTCCTACAGTTAGTGTTGTACTCCTACACTTCTACAGTTAGTGCTGTATTCCTACACTCCTACAGTAGTGTTGTATTCCCACACTCCTACAGTAGTGTTGTATTCCTACACTCCTACAGTAGTGTTGTATTCCTACACTCCTACAGTAGTGTTGTATTCCTACACTCCTACAGTAGTGTTGTATTCCTACACTCCTACAGTTAGTGTTGTACTCCTACACTTCTACAGTTAGTGCTGTATTCCTACACTCTTACAGTAGTGTTGTATTCCTACACTCCTACAGTAGTGTTGTATTCCTACACTCCTACAGTAGTGTTGTATTCCTACACTCCTACAGTAGTGTTGTGTTCCTACACTCCTACAGTAGTGTTGTGTTCCTACACTCCTACAGTAGTGTTGTATTCCTACACTCCTACAGCAGTGTTGTATTCCTACACTCCTACAGTAGTGTTGTATTCCTACACTCCTGCAGTAGTGTTGTATTCCTACACTCCTACAGTAGTGTTGTATTCCTACACTCCTACAGTATGGGTTTGTATCCTACACTCCTACAGTAGTGTCGTATTCCTACACTCCTACAGTAGTGTCGTATTCCTACACTCCTACAGTAGTGTTGTATTCCTACACTCCTACAGTAGTATTGTATTCCTCCACTCCTACAGTAGTGTCGTATTCCTACACTCCTACAGTAGTGTCGTATTCCTACACTCCTACAGTAGTGTTGTATTCCTACACTCCTACAGTAGTGTTGCATTCCTACACTCCTACAGTAGTGTTGTATTCCTACACTCCTACAGTAGTGTTGTATTCCTACACTCCTACTGTAGTGTTGTATTCCTACACTCCTACAGTAGTGTTGTGTTCCTACACTCCTACAGTAGTGTTGTATTCCTATACTCCTACAGTAGTGTTGTATTCCTACGCTCCTACAGTAGTGTTGTATTCCTATACTCCTACAGTTAGTGTTGTATTCCTATACTCCTGCAGTAGTGTTGTATTCATACACTCCTACAGTTAGTGTTGTATTCTTACACTCCTACAGTTAGTGTTGTATTCCTACACTCCTAAAGTAGTGTTGTATTCCTACACTCCTACAGTAGTGCTGTATTCCTATACTCCTACAGTAGTGTTGAATTCCTACACTCCTACAGTTAGTGTTGTATTCCTACACTCCTAAAGTAGTGTTGTATTATTACACTCCTACAGTAGTGTTGTATTCCTATACTCCTACAATAGTGTTGTATTCCTACACTCCTACACTAGTGTTGTATTCCTACGCTCCTACAGTAGTGTTGTATTCCTAAACTCCTACAGTAGTGTTGTATTCCTACACTCCTACAGTTAGTGTTGTATTCCTACACTCCTACAGTAGTGTTGTATTCCTACACTCCTACAGTTAGTGTTGTACTCCTACACTTCTACAGTTAGTGCTGTATTCCTACACTCCTACAGTAGTGTTGTATTCCTACACTCCTACAGTAGTGTTGTATTCCTATACTCCTACAGTAGTGTTGTATTCCTACACTCCTACAGTAGTGTTGTATTCCTACACTCCTACAGTAGTGTTGTATTCTTATACTCCTACAGTAGTGTTGTATTCCTACACTCCTACAGTTAGTGTTGTATTCCTATACTATTACAGTAGTGTTTTATTCCTACACTCCTACAGTTAGTGTTGTATTCCTACACTCCTACAGTAGTGTTGTATTCCTACACTCCTACAGTAGTGTTGTATTCTTACACTCCTACAGTAGTGTTGTATTTCTACACTCCTACGGTTAGTGTTGTATTCCTACACTCCTACAGTTAGTGTTGTATTCCTACACTACTACAGTAGTGTTGTATTCCTAAACTCCTACAGTTAGGTTTGTATTCCTACACTCCTACAGTAGTGCTGTACTCCTACACTCATACAGTAGAGTTGTATTCTTACACTCCTACAGTTATTGTTGTATTCCTACACTCCTACAGATAATGCTGTATTCCTACACTTCTACAGTAGTGTTGTATTCCAACACTCCTACAGTAGTGTTGTATTCCTACAGTTAGTGTTGTGTTCCTACACTCCTACAGTTAATGTTGTATTCCTACACTCCTACAGTAGTGTTGTATTACTATACTCCTACAGTTAGTGTTGCATTCTTACACTCCTACAGTTAATGCTGTATTCCTACACTCCTACAGTAGTGTTGTATTCCTACACTCCTACTGTAGTGTTGTATTCCTACACTCCTACAGTAGTGCTGTACTCCTACACTCCTACAGTAGAGTTGTATTCTTACACTCCTACAGTTAATGCTGTATTCCTACACTCCTACAGTTAGTGCAGCATTCTTACACTCCTACAGTTAGTGTTGTATTCTTACACTCCTACAGTTAATGCTGTATTCCTACACTCCTACAGTAGTGTTGTATTCCTGCACTCCTACAGTAGTGTTGTATTCCTACACTCCTACAGTTAGTGTTGCATTCTTACACTCCTACAGTTAATGCTGTATTCCTACACTCCTACAGTAGTGTTGTATTCCTACACTCCTACAGTAGTGTTGTATTCCTACACTCCTACAGTAGTGTTGTATTTCTACACTCCTACAGTTAGTGTTGTATTTATACACTCCTACAGTTAGTGTTGTATTCCTACACTCCTACAGTAGTGTTGTATTCCTACACTCATACAGTAGTGTTGTATTCCTACACTCCTACAGTAGTATTGTATTTCTACACTCCTACAGTTAGTGTTGTATTCCTACACTCCAACAGTTAATGCTGTATTCCTACACTCCTACAGTAGTGTTGTATTCCTACACTCCTACAGTTAGTGTTGTTTTCCTGCACTCCAACAGTTAATGCTGTATTCCTACACTTCTACAGTAGTGTTGTATTCCTACACTCCTACAGTTAGTGTTGCATTCCTACACTCCAACAGTTAATGCTGTATTCCTACACTCCTACATTAGTGTTGCGTTCCTACACTCCTACAGTAGTGTTGTATTTCTGCACTCCTACAGTAGTGTTGTATTCCTACACTTCTACAGTTAGTTTTGCATTCCTACACTCCTACAGTAGTGTTGTATTCCTACACTTCTACAGTTGGTGTTGTATTCCTACACTCCTGCAGTAGTGTTGTATTCCTACACTCCTACAAGTAGTGCTGTATTCCTACACTCCTGCAGTAGTGCTGTATTCCTACACTCCTACAGTAGTGTTGTAGCCCTACACTCCTACAGTTAATGCTGTATTCCTACACTCCTACAGTTAGTGTTGTGTTCCTACACTCCTACAGTAGTGCTGTATTCCTACACTCCTACAGTAGTGTTGTATTCCTACACTCTTACAGTTACTATTGTATTCCTACACTCTTACAGTTACTATTGTATTTCTACACTCTTACAGTTACTATTGTTTTCCCTACCTTTTAACAGTACTATTGTATTCCTACACTTTTACACTACTATTGTATCCTACACTCTTACAGTTACTATTGTATTCCTACACTGTTACAGTTACTATTGTATTCCTACACTGTTACAGCTACTATTGTATTCCTACACTCATACAGCTACTATTGTATTCCTACACTCTTACAGCTACTATTGTATTCCTACACTGTTACAGTTACTAGTGTATTCCTACACTGTTACAGTTACTATTGTATTCCTACACTGTTACAGTTACTATTGTATTCCTACACTCTTACAGTTACTATGGTATTCCTACACTCTTACAGTTACTATTGTATTCCTACACTCTTACAGTTACTATTGTATTCCTACACTCTTACAGTTACTATTGTATTCCTACACTGTTACAGTTACTATTGTATTCCTACACTGTTACAGCTACTATTGTATTCCTACACTCTTACAGCTACTATTGTATTCCTACACTCTAACAGCTACTATTGTATTCCTACACTGTTACAGTTACTATTGTATTCCTACACTGTTACAGTTACTATTGTATTCCTACACTGTTACAGTTACTATTGTATTCCTACACTCTTACAGTTACTATTGTATTCCTACACTCTTACAGTTACTATTGTATTCCTACACTCTTACAGCTACTATTGTATTCCTACACTGTTACAGTTACTATTGTATTCCTACACTGTTACAGTTACTATTGTATTCCTACACTGTTACAGTTACTATTGTATTCCTACACTCCTTACAGTTACTATTGTATTCCTACACTCTACAGCTACTATTGTATTCCTACACTGTTACAGTTACTATTGTATTCCTACACTGTTACAGTTACTATTGTATTCCTACACTCTTACAGTTACTATTGTATTCCTACACTGTTACAGCTACTATTGTATTCCTACACTCTTACAGCTACTATTGTATTCCTACACTGTTACAGTTACTATTGTATTCCTACACTCTTACAGTTACTATTGTATTCCTACACTGTTACAGTTACTATTGTATTCCTACACTCTTACAGCTACTATTGTATTCCTACACTGTTACAGTTACTATTGTATTCCTACACTCTTACAGTTACTATTGTATTCCTACACTCACACAGTTATTGAGTTTTGCGCTCTGATGGGACAATTTTTGAAGTTTATCTTTGGAATGGGACGATTATAGAAGTTTGCCTCAGAGATGGGATAACTGTTGAAGTTTGTGTTGGAATGAAACAATTGTTCATGGTTATGGAAGCCGGGAATCATCAACAGCGAATTTAGAATATAGAATAAATATACTTAATCCGAAGATGAAGGTGAAGATAAAAATTAACAGGTGAGCAACAGCGTGAAGGGGAACAGTTGTGTAGCAGTCACTGTTTGTTGAGTCAGGAAAGTATTGAATAGCATGTATAGTGTGTGAGTATTGTATGTAGTGCAAGTATCGTACGTAGGGTGTGTGAGTATTGTATGTAGAGTATGTGAGTATCGTATGTAGGGTGTGTGAGTATCGTATGTAGAGTGAGCATCGTATGTAAAGTATGTGAGTTTGTAGAGCGTGTGAGCATCATATGCAGAGTGTGTGAGTATGAAGAGTGTGTGAGTATGAAGAGTGTGTGAGTTTGATAATAAATGTGAGGAACTCATCAACATTGTACGGTGAATGTAGGAGGCAGTGTGACGTATGTACAGTGGGCGAAGGTGACGGTAAGAGTGAGGAACTCACCTTATCAGTGTGTGTGGTGAGCCTTGTGTTGGCCAGGTGCCAGGTGATGGTTGCAGGGGGCCTGGAGCCAGCTGCCTGACACACAACAACGTACTGCCGGCCAGCGCTGACTGGATCCCGGCTCGTCAACAGACGCACCCACAGCGGTGCAACTATTGACGTAAGATGAGATCAGAGTCAGTGATTATGCGTAACTCTCCTTGTTAAATATTCAAGGCTAAGAAACATTCAAAGGGAGATGTTATGAAACAGGTGAAGGGCTCTTGATGAGAGGAACTAGAGCTGTCATCATACCCTGGTTACCTCTCATTCCTTAGGTACAGTATGAACCTTGAGTTTATCGTTTCTAGCATATAATAATAATAATAATAATAATAATAATAATAATAATAATAATAATAATAATAATAATAATAATAATAATAATAATAATAATCTTTACTGACATCAACGCCACAGCGCTCACATCCGGCCTCCTACATAGAAAACTAATGGCAGTTGTGGGTGACAGCTTTCACAGGAACGTGAAGGTTGTCACCCACAACTGTCGACTAGCGCCCGTCTAACTATTTACTGCTGGGTAGGTCTCACCCTACCCAGGATGCAACCCAGGCTTTACGTCACACGTTTGCTAAATTGTGTGTCACTGTGTTCACTGTACTGTGTGTCACTGTGTTCACTGCACCTGTGTGTCACTGTGTTCACTGTACTGTGTGTCACTGTGTTCACTGCACTGTGTGTCACTGTATTCACTGCACTGTGTGTCACTGTGTTCACTGCACCTGTGTGTCACTGTGTTCACTGTACTGTGTGTCACTGTGTTCACTGCACTGTGTGTCACTGTGTTCACTGCACTGTGTGTCACTGTGTTCACTGCACTGTGTGTCACTGTATTCACTGCACTGTGTGTCACTGTGTTCACTGCACCTGTGTGTCACTGTGTTCACTGTACTGTGTGTCACTGTGTTCACTGCACTGTGTGTCACTGTGTTCACTGCACTGTGTGTCACTGTGTTCACTGCACTGTGTGTCACTGTGTTCACTGTACTGTGTGTCACTGTGTTCACTGCACCTGTGTGTCACTGTGTTCACTGTACTGTGTGTCACTGTGTTCACTGCACTGTGTGTCACTGTGTTCACTGCACTGTGTGTCACTGTGTTCACTGTACTGTGTGTCACTGTATTCACTGCACTGTGTGTCACTGTGTTCACTGCACCTGTGTGTCACTGTGTTCACTGTACTGTGTGTCACTGTGTTCACTGCACTGTGTGTCACTGTGTTCACTGCACCTGTGTGTCACTGTGTTCACTGTACTGTGTGTCACTGTGTTCACTGCACTGTGTGTCACTGTGTTCACTGCACTGTGTGTCACTGTGTTCACTGCACTGTGTGTCACTGTGTTCACTGCACTGTGTGTCACTGTGTTCACTGCACTGCGTGTCACTGTGCTCACTGTACTGTGTGTCACTGTGTTCACTGCACTGTGTGTCACAGTGTTCATTGCACTGTGGAACACTGTGTTCACTACCCTGCTTGCCACTGTGTTCATTGCCCTGCATATCACTGTTTTAAATGCATTGTGTTCACTGCACAGTGTTCACTGCTCTGCGTGTCATTGTGTTCACTGTCCTGCGTGTCATTGTGTTCACTGCACTGCGTGTCACTGTGCAAGACACTGCGTGTCACAGTAATAGCACTTGTCAATCCAGTAAATTGCGAAGCATTAAAGTTTAGGGAAGAGACCTGTTGATGGTAATGAATGTGGTGGTAATGACTGTGGTGGTAATGACTATGGTGGTAATGATTATGGTGGTAATAAGCGGCGGTAATGAATGTGGTGGTAATGAGAGTGATGGAAATGACTGTGGTTTAATGAATGTGGTGGTAATGAATGTAGTGGTAATGACGGTGGTGGTAATGAATGTGGTGGTAATGACGGTGGTGGTAATGAATGTGGTGATAATAAATGTGGTGGTAATGATTGCGGTGGTAAATGAATGTGGTGGGTAATGACTATGGTGGTAATGAGTGGAGGTAATGATTATGATGGTAATGTGCAGCGATAATGAAAGTGGTGGTAATGAATGTGGTGGTAATGACTGTGGTTGTAATGAATATGGTGATAATGAATGTGGAGGTAAAGAGAGTGGAGGTAATGAGTGATGATAATGAATGTGGTGCTTATGAGAGTGATGGTAATGTATTTGGTGATAATGAAATAGGTGGAAACAAGAGTGGTGGTAATGAAAGTGATGGTAATGAGAGTGGTGATAATGAGAGTGGAGGTAATGAGAGTGGTGATAATGAGAGTGGTGGTAATGAGTGGTGATAATGAGAGTGGTGGTAATGAGTGGTGATAATGAGAGTGGTGGTAATGAGAGTGGTGGTAATGAGTGGTGATAATGAGAGTGGTGGTAATGAGTGGTGATAATGAGAGTGGAGGTAATGAGAGTGGTGATAATGAGAGTGGAGGTAATGAGAGTGGTGATAATGAGAGTGGAGGTAATGAGAGTGGTGATAATGAGAGTGGAGGTAATGAGAGTGGTGATAATGAGAGTGGAGGTAATGAGAGTGGTGATAATGAGAGTGGAGGTAATGAGAGTGGTGATAATGAGAGTGGAGGTAATGAGAGTGGTGATAATGAGAGTGGTGGTAATGAGAGTGGTGGTAATGAGTGGTGATAATGAGAGTGGTGGTAATGAGTGGTGATAATGAGAGTGGTGGTAATGAGAGTGGTGGTAATGAGTGGTGATAATGAGAGTGGTGGTAATGAGTGGTGATAATGAGAGTGGTGGTAATGAGAGTGGTGGTAATGAGTGGTGATAATGAGAGTGGTGGTAATGAGTGGTGATAATGAGAGTGGAGGTAATGAAAGTGGTGATAATGAGAGTAGTAGTAATGAGAGTGGTAATAATGAGAGTGGAGGTAATGAGAGTGGTGATAATAAGAGTGGTGATAATGAGAGTGGAAGTAATGAGAGTGGTGATAATGAGAGTGGTGATAATAAGAGTGGTGATAATGAGAGTGGAAGTAATGAGAGTGGTGATAATGAGAGTGGTGTTAATGAGAGTGGAGGTAATGAGAGTGGTGATAATGAGAGTAGAGGTAATGAAAATAGAGATAATGAAAATGGAGGCAGTGGGAGTGGTGATAATGAGAGTGGTGATAATGAGAGTGATGGTAATGAGAGTGGTGATAATGAGTGATGGTAATGAGAGCAGTGATAATGAGAGTTGAGGTAATGAGAGTGGTGATAATGTGAGCAGTGATAATGAGAGTGAAGGTAAGGAGAGTGGTGATAATGAGAGTGGAGGTAATGAGAGTGGTGATAATGAGAGTGGTGGTAATGAGAGTGATGGTAATGAGAGTGATGATAATGAGAGTGATGGTAGTGAGAGCAGTGATAATGAGAGTTGAGGTAATGAGAGTGGTGATAATGTGAGCAGTGATAATGAGAGTGAAGGTAATGAGAGTGGTGATAATGAGAGTGGTGGTAATGAGAGTGGTGATAATGAGACTGGAGGTAATGAAAATGGAGATGATAATGAGAGTAGTGATAATGAGAGTGGTGATAAGGAGAGTGGAGGTAATGAGGAGGGACGTAATGAGAGAGGTGATAACAAGAATGGAGGCAATAAGAGTGATGATAATGAGAGTGGTGGTAATGTGAGCAGTGATAATGAGAGTGTATGTAATGAGAGTGATGATAGTGAGAGTTGTGGTAATGAGAGTGGTGATAATGAAAGTGGAGGTAATGGTAATGGAGAAAATGAGAGTGGAGGTAATGGGAGTGGAGATAATGTGAGTGGTTACCTGGAGGTTACCTGGAAGGTTATTCCGGGGATCAACGTCCCCGCGGCCTGGCCCATGACCAGGCCTCCCGATGGATCAGGGCCTGATCAACTAGGCTGTTACTGCTGGCCGCATGCAGTACAACGTACTAGCCACAGCCCGGCTGATCAGGCACTGACTTTAGGTATCTGTCCAGCTCTCTCTTGAAGGCAGCCAGGGATTTATTGGCAATTCCCCTAATGTTTGATGGGAGGCTGTTGAACAGTCTTGGGCCCCGGACACTTATGGTGTTTTCCCTTAGTGTACCAATGGCGCCCCTGCTTTTTATTGGGAGCATTTTGCATCGCCTGCCCAGTCTTTTACTTTCGTAGGGGGTGATTTCTGTGTGCACATTTGGGACCATTCCTTCCAAGATTTTCCAAGTGTAGATTATGATATATCTCCCCCTCCTGCATTCCAACGAGTACAAGTCAAGTGCTTCCAAGCGTTCCCAGTAGTTAAGGTGCTTGACAGAACTTATACGTGCAGTAAAGGATCTCTGTACACTCTCTAGATCTGGAGGTAATGGGAGTGGAGATAACGAGAGTGGAGATAACGAGAGTGGAGGTAAAAATAGTGGTTGTAATGAGAGTGGTGATTATGAATGGTGTTTACAGTGGTGGAAGTGACAGTGGTGACAGTGACAGTGGTAGGAGTGAAAGAGGTGGAAGTGACAGTGGAGGGAGTGACAGTGGTAGGAGTGACAATGGTAGGAGTGACAGTGGTGGGAGTGACAGTGGTGGGAGTGACAGTGGTAATAGTAACAGTAGCGGGAGTGACAGTGGAAGGAGCGACAGAGGTGGGAGCGATAGTGGAGGGAGTGACAGTGGTTGTAGTGACAGTGGTGGAAGTGGCAGTGTGGGCACTGACAGTGGTGGGAATGACAGTAGTGGTAGTGTCTGTAGTGGGAGTGACAGTAGTGGAGTGACAGTAGTGGAGTGACATAGGTGGGAGTGACATTGGCGGGAGTATCAGTGGAAGGAGTGACAGTGGTGGTAGTGACAGTAGTGGGCGTGACAGAGATGGGAGTAACAGTGATGGTAATGAGAGTAGCAGAAATGAGAGTGGAGGAAGTGACAGATGTGGAATTGACAGTGGAGGGAGTGACAGTAGTAGTGACAGAGGTGGTTGTGACAGTGGTGGGAGTGACAATAAAGGTAGTGACTGTAGTGGGAGTGACAGGGGTGGGAGTGACAGAAGTATTAGTGACAGCGGTGGTTGTGACAGTGGTGGGAGTGACTGTAATGATAGTGACTGTAGTGGGAGTGACAGCGGTGGGAGTGACAGAGGTGGGAGTGACAGTGGTGAGAGTGACAGTGGTCGGAGTGTCAGTGGTGAGAGTGACGTGGAGGTATTGACAATAGTGGGCGTGACAGAAGTGGGAGTAACAGTGGTGGTAGTGACAGTAGCGAGAGTGACAATGGAGGGAATGATGGAGGTGGGAGTGACAGATCTGGGAGTGACAGTGGAGGTATTGACTGTGGCGGTACTGACAGCGGTGGGAGTGACAGTGGTGGGAGTGACAGTGAAGGGAATGACAGTAGTGGGAGTGACAATGGTGTGAGTGACAATGGTGTGAGTGACAGAGGTGGGAGAGACAGTGGTTGGAGTGACAGAGATAGGAGTGATAGTGGAGGGAGTGGCAGTGGTGGGAGTGACAGTGGAGGGAGTGACAGTGGTGAGAGTGATAGTAGTGGAGTGACAGTGGTGGGAGTGACAATTGTGGGAGTCACTGAAATAATAATTACAGTGATTCTAATGACGGTGATGATAGTGACAGAGGCAATAGTGACGGAGATGATAAGACCAGCGGTGGTAATGACAGCGGTGGTAATGACAGAGGGGGTAATGACAGAGGCGAGGGATTTATAGGACACTCCAGAGAGAATTAATTCCAAGATTAAAGTTTCAAGAAACTTAAAATTCTGGTGAAGAACATTGACTTACAATAATACCTCCTAGGAGCACAATCTCTGAGCTAAGATAGAAAGATCTAGGGATATACAGACTAATATCTAGAATTATAGCATATATATGCCTGGAATACGGGGCATTAAGTTATTGAGAGACATTACTAAGTACTTATTGAAAATATTTGGGAAGCAATTCAGCTGGAATTATAAAAACTGGAAAAAAAATCATTGGAAGTTTGTGCCGCCCATGACGTACATCAGCGATGCAAAAATTGCATTTTAATATAAATTTATGAATGGCTGGGCCTTACAAATCAAGTCACAGATGTATTCTCTCAATACTTTTTATTTTATTTCAACCAGGAAAAAGCGCTGAAACCGTTGGGGTTACTTAGCTCCAGAAGAATGGGAAACATTCAGGTTCGACCCCAGAGAGGGAATTATAAGTCCAGTTTCTTGGATCAAGAACCCCTCACCAACGTCAATGCACTTTCCTTGAGAAGGTTAGACTCACAGATCATATCAAGGGTGACAGTGGTGGTGAGCGGTGCTGTCAGGTTGGAGTTGGTAGCCTGGCAGGTCAGGGTTCGATGCAGGTCACGGCGGGTCAGCTTGGGCACCACCAACGTGTTGGTCACCTGGTTTGGGGCCTCCACATCCGAAGTCATATCCAGGAGGAGCGGGCCCTCCCACCAGGTGAGAGCAGGGGGCGGTGATCCTCCCGTAGCCCGGCAGGTGAGTCGCAAGGTGTCCCCTTCGGTGAAAGGTCCCACGATGCTACGAGCCTCAACACCCAGCTCAGTGTACACTGCCACACGACGCGGCGGAACTGAAACACAAATATACAGCGTTAATTATTGTTACTGCAGCATAATAGTATACGTATAATTAATCGAGGCACACGAAATTAATTGTATCTGAAAAATTTTAATCTAAACTACAACACGTACTCAGTGTTAATTGTAACTAACACAAAACAATTATAGCAGAGGCACAATGTTAATTCTTTCCGAAACAAACATAATGTTTAATGTAACTGTAACACTCTGTCAGCTGTGACTGGAACACACAGATACAATCATAATTGTAAATTACAAGAAAATACGTTAGTTGTTAATGCAACAGTGTTCCACAAATACGGCGTCTTTCTTACCACAAGAAAAAAACTCAGATGTAATAAGCTTATTTCTGTTATGTTTCATTTGCTACTTCCCTTTGTTCTCAGTCAGCTGGAAGGTCACTTGCTTTCCCTGGGACTAGATGGAGCTATTGCCAAGTCAAGAGCTATCACGTGAGGTTTTCGCCCTGGTAACTAGGTGGAGCTATTACCAAGTCTACAGATATCTCCTGGTGTTTTCATCCTGGTAACTAGATGGGGTAAAAGCCTGTATACACATGAGAGCCATTAAGGCTGCATGTCACCTATTCACCACCAGTCAAGAATACTTTAATCTTTAAAGTGGGGATTAAAGAGAACTCTCAGCATACATACGCTGAGGGACATGCACCTTATTGTGTACATATCCTGCGTATTTTTCCCAGGTCACAAGCTATCACGCGGTGTTCACACACGTAGTGTCATCATACCTTACTGTTCAAGTTATCCATTGAGGTGCAGATTGTCTCAGTGATGTGTAGGGATGTGTAAAGAAGTGTCTTGCACGTGGCTCGTAGCAGGAAGGAGAGAGAGGCCAACACCAAGCTACACATTCCTTGTACCTCCCGATATAGGGTGTGGGAAACCTCAGAAAGTCAAAAAAAAAAAAAAAAGGCACAAAACTGCAACACACCGCAGTCAACTAGTCTAGTGTCATTATGAAATTATGTATATAATGCATAGCTATTTCACCAACACTTTAGTTTTGTGTGGGATTTTATATTAACTAAACAAATCTATATTAATTTCCCGTCACCTAATACCATACGTTAGCAAAATGTTCACGAAAAATGCGAGAAAATTCCTTATATTCTGCTCCATATTGATCATCGATGTGGGTTTAAGTATTCCTAAGTATTTGAAAATACCTGAGTATTTCTAATCCATCACGAGTATTTCTATATATTTCTAAAAGATTTTGATTATTTCCGAATGTCATTTATTTCATACTTATCAACCCAACTAGATGTATTTTGTTCGATTCGTGATCCCTGTATTCCATCAGCCGAGCCTCCTCTCCTTGTGTGTGTGTGTGTGTGTGTGTGTGTGTGTGTGTGTGTGTGTGTGTGTGTGTGTGTGTGTGTGTGTGTGTGTGTGTGTGTAAAGAAAAAGGTAGACAATGTATGACTCGTGTGACAGTGTTACGAGTGTTGGGCTCTTCAGTTTTCTCTATCTCGACAGGTGTGTCTGCATTGTGCCATCTGTTGAGGGGGTGGAGGGTTCTTATAATGTTTCTCTTTCATCATCTGTCGCCTTTCCTCTTTATGTTTTGGAGTTTTTTTCTGTTCGTTTCAACATTTCATTCTTCAGGGCAGGTGAAATTTGACTCCACCCTTCATCTACACGAGCCCTTCAGTCCACTTAAGCTTTACAGAGTTATTTGGTATTGATTGTTTTCTTTTGTATTGCAAACTCCATGTGGGTTTCTTATTTTTGCCATGGCTTCCAACTTTATTTAGTCTCTTGTTTTCTCCCAGTCCACGGTTCATGACTAAGTTTCCCATAGAGAGAGAGAGGTGAACGGGAACAAAATTTTCCTTAGTACTGGTTGAGTACATGGTTAAGTGTGATCTTGGCTGAGTACATACATGGTTAAGTTTGATCTTGGCTAAGTACATGGTTAAGTGTGATCTTGGCTGAGTACATGGTTAAGTGTGATCTTGGAAGTTCTCAGTACTGAGATACCTCATCCCTGAAGTGTCCGAACGACCATAATATATCTCCATTTCCTGGTCAACCATTTATCTTCATGAGTCAACCTTCACTGAGCTTATCTATGACCTGACTGTGACTCAACTATAATGTTTACATGACTTACCGACTTGTATGATTGTTCCACTATGTGAGAAATTATATTATGTTATGAAAAAATATCACAGTGAAAACAGGAAATAATACCTGAGCGCTTCCATGTGCTTACATATCTGATAGATATGTACTCACCTAATTGTACTTGCAGGCGTCGATTCATAGCTCCTGGCCCTGCCTTTTCACTGGTCGCCACTAGGTCCACTCTCTCCCTGCTCCATGAGCTATATCATACCTCTTCTTAAAGCTATGTGTGGCACCTTCCTCCACTATCTCACTTTCAAGACTATTCCACTTTCTGACAACTCTGTTGCTGAAGAAATACATCCTAACATCCTTGTTACTCATCTGAATCTTCAACTTCCAATTGTGACACTTTGTTTCTGTCCCATCTCTGGAACATCCTGTCTCTGTCCACCTTGTCGATTCCTCTCAGTATTTTATGTTGCTATCATGCCCCCCTTCCTGTCCCTCCTTTACTCCAGTGTCGTCAGGTCGAGTTCTCTTAACCTCTTCTCGTACCATATGCCCCTTATCTCTAGGACTAGTCTCGTTGCAATCCTTTGCACTTCGGACCCTGTACACCGTACACGGTGTACAGGGTCCGAAACGATTTCTTACTGACATGTTGGAATGCTATTCTTAGGTTCGCTAGTCGTCCCTAAGCTGCAGCAGTTATTTGGTCGATGTGCGCCTCAGATGTGCTCGGTATTATACTCACTACAAAACTCACTCATTGAGTGAGGTTTGTAGTCTTTGGCCCCTGGACTGTGTCAAACTTTGTGTGCTTACACACATACACACATATCTGGCAATATGTGTGTAAGCACATAAAAGCTCTCAGGTTATATTTCGTATTTTCACAAAGGTATTATTTTTATACTTGTAATTACGCATTTTATTGTGATTTCTTCCATATTTTATATTTAGCTTTTCTTTATCTGTTTATTATTATTTGGGCTTTCTTTCATGTTAGGTTTCTTAAATGAAGGTTCTGTTATATGTCTCGATTCGTTAGACCTTTTTCTCTTTTTATTTTATTCCCCTGTTATTAGTTAATTGTTTCCATATATCTTTTCTATGCGGAGAACCCACCAGCTGTCCTTTTCCTGACAAGAGACGACGTTGCCAGGATACAGCGGATTCCTAAGGTTCAAGAATCGCTACCATTGAGGACTAGAGTTAAAGGTTAATCATCTGATGTGGTGAGTAGACTATGTTTAACAATTTTATAGAGAAATATACTGGAGTTTGTCTTCACTAAGCTGTTTCGTTAAAGCTCATGACTAAGATTAGAGGATTACTCTTATTTTTGTGGGAACAGGGGTAACACTGTCGTGACCTGTACTTTGCTCTGTGAAGACGTGTCTAGTGTGCTCTCTGTGAATCTGAACAAGATGTCCTCTCTTCAGCAACTCCACCAGCAGTTTAAGGGAGAACTGAGGGTGGCTAAGCTTGAGATACAGCAACTGACTGAGGAAAACAAGAGGATTCGTAGTAATCCTCCTGTTGTGAGTCCTCAAGTCAAGAAAGGAACCTAGACAGTGGCTGGAAAGCATGGAACAAAGTTAAGGATCAGAGGATAGATGGAGAGGTAGCAACAACGAAGATCCAGGAAACTGTTGTAGGAACATCGAGCCCATTCTCCGTGCTACCCAGTGAATGTGAGTCAACTACAGGGAACGTCATGGCGAACGTCACCAAGGAAGGTAAGAACATTGTTCTTGTTGGGGATAGTCAGATTTGGTACATGGATAGGGCTTTCTGCTTGAAGGATCGGAGTAGGAGACAGAGGGTTTGCTTTCCTGGGGCTGGGATGGAGGATATTGTTAGCCAGTTTGACAGCATCATGAATGGTAATGGGATCAATCCTATTACCTGCCTCAATGCTGGAAGCAATGATGTAAGCAAGCACAGAAGTGATGATTTAGTTAAAAGGTACAAGGCAGCAATAGACATAACTAGGAAGAAGGGAGGGGAGGACAGCACCCTGTTATATGTGGCATTTTTGCCAAGAAGGGAAAATGACATGTATACCAGGGATGGGGTTCACTTATCTAGGTCTGGGGTGGGGGCACTAGCCACTGCAGTGGAGGAAAGTGTTAGGGGTTTAAACCAGAAATAGTTAGTGGTATGGGTTTTGGGGAGAAAACAGTGAAGTCCCAGTGTAGTAATATTGTGAGTTTTAGGGGAACTAGTAATAGGCAGAATGAGGTGGATATTGGAAAGCCAGTGGCACTAGGTGACAAGGACAGTAATAGGCATTGTGGAAAAAGAGAAATGAGCAAGAAGGGTAAAGAGAAAGGAGGGTCTTTAAACCTATATTATACTAATAGTCGTAGTGCTAGGAATAAGATGTATGGGTTGAGATTAGTTGCAAGTACAGGTAACATTGATGTATTTGCCATAACTGAGACATTATGGGGTTTTAAGTTGTTTCAAGTAGATAGATGTATCGGGAAGGGAGTGCGGTGGCACTGTATTGCTTGAAATTGCTTGAAATGTTGCATGAAAACGGGTATAAAGTCTGAAATAACACATACAGAGCCTGTCTGGATAAAATTTTCGGAGGGAAATAAAAAAACTGATCTTAGGCATGATATACCCTCCCCAAACTTAAATAGAGACCAAAGGAAACTACTTTGGGGGACAATTTGTTAAATGTCAAGATGGATTAGAACGTAGCAATTCTTAGGGGACTTTGAAGCGTTTAGTACAGAATACAAGATGTAATACTTTGACTGGTTTGGAATCAAGACACTTTTTGAAATTAGAATTACAGGAATTTGAAGCAATCTTTGCTTTACACAGGAACATACAAGGGAAATATACGCCTTGCTTGGATTCATGGCAACAAGGGAAAC